AATAAGACCAACCGCTTGTTTATACAATACCCTAGGCTGAGATATTGGATAGTAATCTTAGCTCATCCAGGCGTTATCGGCGTGTAGAAATCGAGTGAAAATGTCTCTCGCACCTAAGCTTGCTTAGTACAGAACATTTACATTCTCGCAAAATAGGACTTAAATGTGTAGCCTTCTTAAATTTAAAAGCAAATGCCAATGAACTTGTCAACGAGTTGGTAATGAAATTTTTCATCCTTCATAAATAACTGTTGGCAATAATAGGTGAAAGAGAGTAAGGCCTATAGGCTATAGTGCCTGTGGGTAGATGCACACGTACTCGCACACATTTACACACACGCGCGCGCACGCACGCACGTACGCACGCACACAAGCAATCAAGCATTCGCGTAAGTATGTGGGCACAAGTTGCCCTCGCAGCCATGAATAAACACTCACAAGCACGCACACACATGCACATGCATATACACATTAACACACAAACGTGAACGCAGGCACGCACGCAGGCACGCACGCACACGCACACGCACACGCACACAACATCACATACGCACGCACTGACGGACGCACGCATGCACGAACGCACGCACGCACGCACCACTGTATTCTATCCATATTCGCAGGATAGTCAGTTCATATCAGAAAATTCCATGTACGGAATCAAAGGCGCCACCTTTCGGCCGAAAATAGTCTAAACTGCCAACATCGTTTCTGTAACACAAATAATTATACGCGCAATGTCATGGCGTCACGTGAACGCATATATAACGAAACCAGGAGATTGTGACAGTGAAGAATAAGCGAAAGTCGGAGCGTCAGTTGTTCATGGGTGCTGTAGAAACGCCTATATGTCTGGTTATGCAATCTTTAATCATTTTTTACATAAATGAGTAAAAAACTAGAAAGCGTGTTGCCCACGGGTCGTCGTTAACACACCTCGGCCCTAGCAGTAATATCCTGCTAATACAGAGTCCTTAAAGGTTCCTTCCTAAGATTACGAGTTAACTTAAAAACTTGATCCTTCTTACGCAGAGAGAGCACTATTCTAGCAGTAACTTAAAAATAATTACCAATTCTACCAACTGCCACTCAACCTTACTATACTTATACAGTTGATACATACGGGGATTGATAGAGCCAAAATACGACCTTAAGCAAGCTCGCTTTAACCACAGAGCCTTAATTACAATTGGTTGAATTTGCCTCCTAATTATAATTTTATATATTAATGTCAATTTTCATGGTAATAGTTCATGTAATCTCTGACTGTGCACGTCGGTGTCCGTCACGCGTGTGTGGATCAGCTCTCATTGCTGTACGTTGCTACTACTGCTTATTATGTTAACAATTCATTTTGTCTTCATCTTTCAGATTCGGGAAGACTGGATGTATGTCGCCATGGTCCTGGATAGACTTTTTCTTATCATTTCCACAATCGTATTTTTCGTAGGAAGTTTTACAATTATATTCCAGGCTCCTGGGTTTACAGACTTTGATCCGCCCCTAAAAGAGTGAACGTTCATGTGCAGTGACTCGTTTGTAGTAAATGTATAAAACACGACACTCGATACTTAAATAAATTTGTTCCCACTCTATGTTAGACGATAGCAGCTCAGCAAACATTTTTCGAACGTTGAATTTATCGTGAGCGATCATTCGTGGTTGGCATGGCGACAGAATTGCATTGCTATCAGCTTCACATTATTATTACGTCCGTTTAAATTGCACTATTCGCCTGAAACCGTTATACGGCCTTATACGGTGTGCAGATGCGTCAGTAGTGTTTGAATATTGAACTATGCGCAAGGGCAATACGTGAATGTATAGAATAATATCACTCAGAGTGGGCGTAACCTTCCGTAATTACTACGCATTCTCCTGTGCAATATTTTGTAAGAACGTTCTTGCTTTTTTAATTCTTTTGTATGTTGCTGCTATATCTGATACGAGGTACCAATGTACTATGGGCTGCGGCAAGATTTTGTTATCCGCTCAAAGTAGAAGACACTAGTGGAAATGGTAACATTAATATAAGCAATATGGTTCGTTATTGAACTGTAATTTTGCCATTTGTAATTTTATGTTATATGATTTTATGTACAGTTTGTCTTTGTGGAATGAATATATTATAACTGTATTTAATGAAATGAACCTATATGCTAAATTTTGAGTGTGGACATAATGTCCTTGTTTATTATGATTCCTTTTATATATTTATTTTACTCGCGATGTGGTTGGCTATTTCTTACTCAATAAAATATCTTATTCCACTGTCATAAAAGTAAAACCTTATTAATAACAACAATAAGAAGAACACATTAATCAATGCGTAAACTTGTGCGCTGTTACTATATATACTTTAATCAATGATGACCTGAAGGAATTTAGGGACAAGGTAGAAAACACAAGGGCACTAAGCGCGGTGGCAGTGACCACATAGCGCAATGCGCATGTCCCAGAAGCATGTTTTTGTATTTCGTCATTGATTTGAGAAAAAAACTGTTGGCGGCATATGTTGAGATGGTCCCCGCTATAACTGTGGCAAATACATCTAGCGGCGATGTTTGTAAACTGCAGCATTTGAACAGAAGCACTTGTCGCAGCAGGACCGGCCTACCCGCCATCTCTACTGTAGCATTTACCTTCGGGTTTTCAATGATTCTCAAGTGGTCATATCAGAGCTGTTAGAGCTTCAATACGACCGGATGAGTTCTGGCAGATCCACACGAAGCCAACTATATGTATATATTATATATATATATATATATATATATGCTGCGCGCGTTTTTCAATATTTGCAATACAGTTTCTCGCTGACTTTGGTTGTCATCATTAGGGTTCGGTAAACTTCGTGCAACAATAGAACGCGAGTTGTAAAGATTGCTGCCGGTACAGGAAATGTGGCTCGAGTTTTTAACGGTTTTAATATAAATCGTTTTATAGCAGTCAAATACTTTTTGCAAATTAAAACAAAACGGGTTTTTGAGTGATTTGGATATTCGTGCGATATATCTGTTGCTTGAGCATGAATTTGAATTTATGCAAACCAGCTTATTCGTATCGTGTTTTTGGTTAATATATGGGTGATCACCACAGCAGTAGGGTATCAATCTAAAACGGCGTTCAATTATTATTTCAACGCCAACGACACAAATTACTTGCTTGACATTAATTATTTATTCATTAGTTTGGCAGTGTAATTTTACAAAACTATTAACCATTGTTTATCCGGAGACATATGAATAATTAATATAGATTTATGAAACGTTCCCATGATACCGCGAAATATCTACTATTGAAAATATTTTAAAACTGCCTCAATGCTATGTAAATTGGCTATTATTAATTTGAAAGTGTTAATAATGTATTCATATCCTATTTGGTATATAATTCAATGCATTTTAGTATGCAGATAACGTGCTTGTTTATACCGACCTGTTACTTAAGAATAGCTGACACCGTGGTACTGTAGTAAAAAAATCAGCTCTCGATTTGCAATCATAGTAATGTTTAATACTCATTTTTTATAATGCTACATGCTTTCCTCATCAATTTTTTTCTGTTCTGTGTGGCGTGTGAATATGTGTTTTCTGTGAAATACAACAACCGTTGATATTTACGGTGAGTGTACGATTGTCGCTTGTTCGTCTTTCATGTACCGACTTTCAAACGAAGCATAACAAACAACACACACACACACACACACACACACGCACACACACACACACGCACACTCACACACAATCACGCACACACGCACGCGCGTAAGCACGAACGCACCTTGGAGTAATCACACTAAATCATTCAGAATAATTACTCTAAGCACGCACAAACGCACGCATGGTTGGAACCGAAGGGTTTGAATT